ACAAAAACATAAAGAAGCCAAAGAAAATGAAGAAATATTGAAGAAAAGAAACATAGGAAGAGATGTTGAAGGCCTTACAGAAAAAGAAACTTTAAACAAGCTAACCGAAGAATTTTGTCTAAGATTTTAGAAAATCAGGGTAAAATTTTTCACAAAATTGAAGAACTAACTTCTCATATTATTCGTATTGAAAATAGATTGAAAGAAATGGAGGATAAGTTAGTAGATAAATATGATATAATGCATGAAAAAACTTTTCAAGAAGTAATTTTAAATTTTTATTTAAATATATATATATATATATTATTATACTAATAATTTTTGTAATAGCAAACTGTAAAAGGAGCCGCTAAAGCCTTAATCAAATATATATTATATCCAAAAAAAGAAGAATTTAAAAAAGAGACAGAGATTTATATAAGGGCACATTATGGTGAAATTTATATCAGAAATGCCCAAAAAAAAGTGAATACCTATTATAAAAAAAATTTATATGAACAAGTAATAATTTTTTTATTTAAATAGAATACTATCAAGGCAATAGGAAAGTTTAAATTATTAAAAATTTTTGTAATAAGTAGAATAACATCTAAAATTTATCTATAACTTGGCAGCTAATCTATTAAATATATAAATCACTTAAATTCGAATATATTTGAATTTATTCAAATATATTCGAATAAATTTGAATATAAATTTTAAATTTAAATATATTTGAATAAATTCGAATATATTCGAATTATTAAAATGTAATTTTAGAATATTTACTAACTTTTAAAATTTTAGCTTTTGGAAAAATTTAGATTATTGTGGAGTATGTTGACTACCAAGATCAAGGCTTCAATGTTTTTTGTATTTGAAAATCTTTTAGATCCTATTAACAACAATGCAATACATGAGGTGATAATTAAATGAAAACGTTCTGATAAAACTATATCCTGTTTTAAGCGACTTTTTGTTAAAGTTCCTAATAATTCTGAAGAAACTTATATGTCACTAATTTTAAACAAAATTTGGCCTTCTGAAGAAACTACTAATAAAAAGGTTGCATATGCAATTGCAGTTTATCAAAATATTTTAGATCCAAAGCAAGACAATTTAACTATTTCAGAGAGCGTAATTAAAAATAAATTAGCAAAAAATTTGGTAAGTTTTGTTATAAGAAATTTATTTAATATAATGAGTATATTTATTTCTCACCCAGGGTGAGGTTTGATATTTCTTACCCCCTTAACCGATTTATATTAAACTGGTTCAAACCGGTTCTACATAAGAATTTAAACTAACACTATATATAATTAATAAATTCATATATAAAAATTCACTAATTAATATATATGCTATATGTTATTTAAACTTATAAGGCTATAAATTTTAAACTTTATAATCAACTTTTACAATTACTCGTATAACTATACAAACTTATAAAGATCAAATCTATGATGCCTAATTATACTTTTATTTAAATTAAGAATAACGTGAAGATATTCAATAGTGTGTACAGAGTTTTTTCCAGGGCGCACTAAATTCTTGTTTTCTATTCTTTGATAAGTTGGGCTTATTAATCATAAATGCCAATTACACAGTAATGAAAATATAAGTACATAGAACATATACGTAGCACATTATTACCTTGCTTATACGTTTCTGGATTTCACAAGTATGAGGGGTTTCAGGATGAATTCTTTGTCTAATGCTTTAAAATTCTAACGCCTTAGCATGAATGTCTAGTTTGCTAAAATAAGATAAATTGATTTAATTTGGAGAATTTTTTTTTTTTTAAAAAAAAAATATATAACCTTTCATAAAATAACATTTCCTTATTTATTTTCTTTAGCCAATGTTGCAAAATCAACTCGTTTTCCTTTTCCAAGTCTTTCATGTGGTTATAAATTTTTCCTAATTCTAATCGCAGCATTGTCACATCATCGCGCAGCAGCTAAGTGTAGAATTTATGAAAGTTTAATAGTAGAATAGATCAAATGCTAAAACTCAACATATAATCCTATTATTTTCAGTTCATTAATTGATTGTTGAAGGTACTGTATTTTTAGTATTCTACTAGCATTCTTCTTGCTGACTTAATATTTAACTATATTGAATAGGACATCAAACAAGCTGAGTACCAACAATATCTAGTAGACATTCAGCACCTTCTGCAATCAATTAACAACTGAATACAATACAGCTGTATGTTGTAGTGCTAATGATTCATTGTTACACTACCTGAATTGTAATGTCTTTTTCAAAAGCTTGATTGGTTTTGGTTAATTTTCGAGTTCTAATAAATCCGTTAAAAAAATTAATTACGATGAATATTCTTAAAACAAAAAAAAAGCATTTGAGTATTTGCCTTTGATTCCTTTTGGTCATCTCTTTATGAATGCGTGAAGCATCATTTAAATTCAACCCTTGTGCATTCGTTTTTTGAGTTTTAAATAATTTTAAATGCTTCTCTTTAAGGGTTTGAATCTGTTGTTCCAATTCTGCAGTTCGTTTTTGATTCAATGGGTTTCTAAAAACTATAAAGTTCATAAGAAAATAAAACAGTGCCTCAGATTATAGTTACTCTTACATCTGTCCTCTTAAAATCTTATCTATTCAGAAAAATTTAATGCATTTTTTAGCCATCAGTTTTTTAAATTGAAAAAGCGTACAGGTTGGACAATTCCATTACAAAAAAAAAAAAAGGTTGCATTCTTTATTGATACTGATCAATTGACTATAATTAGAATTTAACAGCCAAATATACTAATTTAATTCTTTGCAGGGCAAGTATTATGATAATGTCCAATTCTTCTACATAAGCCGCACTTATGACCCTCATCAATTGCTAAACTTCCAAGCACATTTTTATCTTTTGAATTTGTGTTATTTCCAATTTCATTTGATGACTTCAACCATTTTGTCGGCTGTCTTCCCTTCGATTTATGTTTTAATAGATTTAAAACTTGTTCATAATTAAGTAGATTTTCATCTACACTTTGATTCTCATTTATAGCTGTTCTCCTTTTTTTCAAAAATTCTTGCTGCTTAGCTTTCTCTGCTTCATTTTTTTGAGCTGCTCTTTTTATTATTATATGCTTTAATAAATTAAAATAATTCATCATCATTGTTTTGAATTGCAAATTAAACTGCTTTTTTCACCTCACCCATTAAAGTGCCAAATTTTAATTGATCTTGAGAAATTTTTTTATAGCTTTTTTCTGAAAGAACATCATTATTCACTGTATACTGTTGAGTAAAAGACTGAATCTGTGCGTTATCATGACTAAAATTACAATTCATAATTGTAGTTTCCTTAGAGCAGGACTTACTTGAATCAATGTATTCATCCTTGAACCAACGACTAGGAATCATTAATATGTGAAAACATGCTTTAGAAGATTCAACAAATACTTTGAAAAGTGCCGACATATAATACTATGAGTAATGAGTATGAAACAAGTGCACAAATGCTCTCCATTCTTAAGTAAAATTACATATTGGTAGCATTTAGAATAGCCATATTAAGAAATTTTTCAAATTTCCAGAATATCATCAGAATTAACTATTGCAATTAAAGATTGCAAGTTAAGTTCTCAGTTCTCGTTAGCTTCAACAGGAATTTCAGAGCTGTCATCTGTTTCTTGATCGAAAAGTGGTTCAAACGAATCATCATCTAATGTTGAAATTTCTGACATTTGCACTTTATAAGCATGATAGCAAACAGACTGACACATTTGCTTATAATGTGCATCGTGAATTGGCTGTATAACATATTTTTTTAAAATCTGATCGATGTTACTAAAAAAAGTTTGAATAATAAATAGTTGCATATACTGTAACATAGATGCTTTCCAAATTGAGTATTGATGATTAACCGATTCAAATTCAAGACGCTTCTCAAGTACTTCCTGAACTTCTAAAAAGGAAAAACTCGACTGCATAGCTTTTTTTATAAGTACATTTTCTGATTCAACATGCTGTATCGATTGTGTACCTGCTGTAAAATGCTGGGACGTAAAACATTTAACTCAAGTATGCTTCTGATTTAATAATATTGTAATTATATATCTTTCTCCTGCTGCATATTTTTTAGCTATACCTTGAGATCTTTGTTCAAATACACTTTCACAGTGAGAACTCTGAATATTCTTAAAGTCTTTAAGGAACTCCTGATAAAGTAAACCAAGACATGGACGAAGATTCTTTGCAAGGTTTTGATAAAGATGGTATAAACATTATATGTGATAAGACTTAGAAAATACTACAGAAGCAGCTGCAATCATTGCAGGATCTGCATCAGTTACAAACGTTAATAGAGGAATTTCACATGCATCTAGATAGCATTTAAGTAACCACTCATATGATTCCTGCCTTTCGTCCTGAATTAATGCTTAAGCTGCTAGTCTGCTTTTGTTATAATTATCAATTAAGATGAATAAGCTTAACGGATAATTATATTTGTTGGTTCATGCGGTATTATCATTAATGATAATATCATAAAATTTAAGCCATCTTCTTCGTTGCTCTGGTGACATCCAAAAAATACCAATTAGCTAGTTACTTGTATCATCTATCAACGGTTTCACAAACCATGCAGGATCATGAGCTTGAAGCTCAAAAAGTTTTGACAACAAAGCTGCTGCATCACTTTGATCTAGTCCTTTTTCCCATTTAATTTTTTGGATAGCATTTCCAAGATCTTGGGTCATAAATACACAATCAGGATATTTAGGTTGAAGGAGATTTTTAATTGTTGATGCATTACATCTACTATGTACAACGTAAAACTCGATTTCATCTATGATTTCTTGTGTAAAGGTTTTGTAAGCAATAGCAAATTTTAAGGTTTCAGCTGAAATTTCATGATTATGTTCATTATTAAAGGTTGTTACAGTTACTATTGATGAATCTAACTGTCGTGTTATATTTATTTGCCACTTACACCCCTGTTTTTTACTTCCCTTATTCTTTTGCTTACCCAACACTGGTGTTAATAACTTCTCACAATATCTTCCCCCTAAATCACACTTGAAAACTCGTTTTTTACAAGTACCATCCTTAAATTTCTCATACTTATGTTTAAAAACAGCAAATTGATTTTGACGTGCATACTGTTCTACAAAATGAACAACAATTAACATAGACAGAAACTGAGTGCCCACTTTAATTTCAAATGGAGTATCGATTAAAGGCAAGTTTTCATTAGAATTTTCAAATTCTAAGCCCAATAAATTGCAAGCAGTAGTTGGTATATTTTCATTGGTCAACAAGTCTTTTTCATTATCGGTTAATAGTTCATGAGAATCATATTGTATGGCTTCACAAGATATAATAACAACACAGTAAAAATAAAAATCAAGTAAAAAAATGTGTGATAAAAAAATAAAAATGCAGGTTAAAAGAAAATAAAAAAAGAGATTAGTAAGTAAAAGTAAGTTAAAAGAAAGTGTAAGTAAAAACGAGTATAAGATGTATCATGTCACGTTAGAGCTTGGATCCGGTCATCTGTTTTCATATTAAATTTAACGGATATCTGACGGATTTTACTATTAAATTTGCATCCAACGGATAACCGGATCCAAGCTCTATGTCACGTAATAATTATTATCTGCCAATCAAATTTATTGTAATACGTTATTAGTATTATTTATGTAGATCATAATTATGTACTACAAATTTGATTAGCTGACGATCACATGTTATAAGGGGGTGAATAATTCATCCGGGTGATCAATAAATTTTCTATAATATAATTATATATAGATTTAGAATAATTAGATTATAATTGATAAAATGATTTAAT